TTTCCATATCCCTAAAGAATGTTAATGGGATTTGGATTGGGATTGCATTGAATGTATAGATTGCTTTGAGTAGAACTGACATTTTCACAATGTTCAATCTTCCTATCCAGGAGCATGGGATGTTCTTCCATTTATGTAGATCTCTTATGGTTTCTTGAAGTAGTTTTTTTATAGTTTTCCATTTTCTTTTGATGTTTCTTGCATCATTCAATATTTTGCCCATAGAATCTTTCAACATTGAAACTTGAGGCTTAGATTTTTTCTCAGTTCTTTCAGCTTGAGAATTGCCAAGCATGTTCTTCCCTTTTCGTTTTCTAACTCCAGGTCTTTGCACATTTCATTATAGTAATTGGCTCTGTCCTCTCGAGCTGCTCTTTGAAATCTTCTGTTCAGCTCATTTATCTTGTCATTTCTTCCATTTGCTTTAGCTACTCTCCACTCAAGAGCAAGTTTCAGAGTCTTTTCTGACATCCATTTTGGACTTTTCTTTCTTTCTCATCTTTTTAGTGACCTCTTGATTTCTTAATGGATGATGCTATTTATGGCATCCCACAATTCTTCTCATTTTTGTGCATTGGTGTTCAATGTATCAAATCTATTCTTTAGATGGTTTCTAAATTCAGCAGGGAGATATTCAAGATCATATTTTGGCTCTCATGGATTTTTTTAAATTGTGTTCAACTTCAACTTGAACTTGAAGATGAGCAGTTGATGGTCTGTTCCACAATCAGCTCCCGGCCTTGTTTTGGCTGAAGATATTGAGCTTTTCCATCGCGTCTTGCCACAGATGTAGTCAATCTAATTCCTGTGTACTCCATCAGGCAATGTCCATGGGTATAGTATTTAATTTATTTTTAATGTTGTATACTATTTTCCCTCAGCACAAAGGAACAGTAAGTATTCCTGAAATTCTGTGAGCTCTGTTTCATGTAGATATATCCAACCTGTTGGTGTAATCATCTGCCTCTAAGCGCCAATGAAGCCTGGCTCAATAAAGGCCTTGTGCCAAGAATGTTTTCTGATATGGAGGCTGGAAATTGGATCTCCTTCCCTCTCCCAATTCCCCCTCCTTATCACAGGAGCCTTCCCCTGCTCTGGGCACGTGGTAACTTTCTGTCTCTTTCATATAAGAAAACATGTCATGGTACGTGCTCTACTTCACTCCTGTGTCTGTTTCCGGTAGGGAGGAATGGGGTTTCTAGTACTACAACCCAAAGAGGTGAACATGGACCACCTGTCTTGCACTGACCCTGTGTGTGGAGTCTGCTGGCCATGGGCAACCAGTTCCCACTAGTGAGGCTAATCTCACTCTGTCTCTTCTCTGTATGAGTAAAATATTTCCAATGCACTGATAGGGGAGCTGTTTGATCTTTTCTAGATTTGTGGGCCCTACCTGGACACCAGCCTGTCCCATTGTCCTCATGCTGTCATTAGGTGTCATTGTGTTCTCCGTGTGTGCTCCTCATGCTCCTCTCACATAGCTCCCATGGCTCCCATCTGACTACAGGCTCCAGAGCATCCATCAACCAGACTGACTTGACCAGAGAAACCAGATCTACCCATTTCCCTTTCAGAACAATTGCATTTATATTTTTATCATTGTCACACTTTTACCAGCCTGGCATGTTTATTTCCTAACTGTCCTCCTACTACAATATAAATGCTAAAAGGATATTCCACTAGTTTTCCATTTATTTGGAATTTGAGTTTAATCCACAATTCAAACAAAGAAACACAGGACAACTCTTACTGAAACTCTGGTAGGTGGTTTGAAAGTGTCCGTCCAACTGTCAGATTTCCAGAAACAGCGTTTAGCCATATCCCCATGATTAATTTCCACAGCCCCTCACCTTCCCTCCATCGGTGCTGCACGGCCTGTGTTCAGTGTGAGCTGAGGGCCCCGTGCAATCCAGTCTCCTTCTGCTTCTCTGCCTCTGTATCACACTGCCTCCCCTCCCCGTGTGTCTACACAGAGCACATTGGGCTGGGCACTTGATAACCTGGAGTTTCATGTGTATGAAGAAACTGAAGATACACTTGATAGAGCACCATGGCCCTATGGTTTGGCTTTGGAAATGTGATGACTGAGCAGGACAGAATCACACGTGTTGTTGAGATTAGCAAGAAAAAGCCAGACCAAGACATAAAACAAATGGGATAAGTGAGGGGAGAGAGCTTGGATGTAGTGACCTTATTTCTCCCTTGAAAAGAAAAACACAAATGTGCACTCTGACCTCTGAATGACCCTGACATCTGACTTGGAATCAGATAAAGGAGCATCCAGTCATGGGAGAAGGAATGTCCCCAGGGAAACTGACTGGAGGTGAAGGAAGTCCCAGGTGCTTACAGCTCCCCTCCCTGGCTCTCCCTGCACCTGCTCCGGAGCTTGGTCTCCTCTGTTTGTTCCAAGCCCTCTCTGCATCCCTGCTCCCTCCCTGCAGGGAGGTTTGTGCATGGGCTGACACAAGCTTCCTCTCACTGTATCTCTCTCACAGTAATACATGGCAATGTCCCCAGTGGTCAAAGACCTCAGATGCAGGGAGAACTTTTTTTTTTTTTTTATTTTTTTAAGAGTTTGTTTTACATATAACATTACGTGTACATTTAGGGTCACCCCCCATTTACCATGCCCGACCCTAACCCTGTCTCCTCCACTCCTTGCCCACTAACCCTCCCCCTGAGCCCCTCATGTTTATGCACTCCTGTTTGTCCCGCATTTCCTCCATGTGAGTGTTGTCCCTCTGGTGCCCGGTGGTCTATTGTTCCAAGGGATGCATTTCCATACAGTATGTGGGTCTGTCACCATGGCTTGAGTGGTCTGCGTGTACATCTTGCTAACATTGGGCTGAGAACTAGCCCCTGGGAGTGAGTTTTATTCCAGGCCCAGAATGTACTCCAGGGCCATAGTATTGGGAGTCTCACCAGACTCCATCCAACCAGTAATTCTGGTAATTACTGAGTTTTTGGATTTTGTCCCACGCTTTTCCTCCCTCTCTATCCAGGATCTCCAGATTTGACCCTTTCCTGAGTGGTTGGCATAGGTAGCCTGGCACCATCTAGTTCTTCTGGTCTTGAGGGCCGTCGTGTCCTAGGGCTTGTTGCATCTAGATGCCACCCCCCACATTTTTTTTTAATCACTCCTCTTCTGAAGAGAGGAGACCATTAGGTGCATCTTAGATGGCTGCTTGAAATATTTTAAGACCCCAGTCACTAATCACCAATGTAGGAGGAAGAACAAGGCTTTGATGTATTTTGTTGTACCAGTTGAGTCTGGTGTCCCTCAGTACTATGGTTGTGAGACAGTACATCCATTAGACCTCTCTCCCACAGTGTCTGGGTGTCTGTGAGTGATTAATCTATGTCTGTCTTCTGTTGTTTCTATAAGGACTGCAGATATTTTATATCACTGGTATTTAGTATCTGTGCAAGATTAGCCTAAACTAGAGTATACCCCAGTGACCAGAGTACACTCCTGTTCCCTGACCACCATCTGATCAGCACAATTCACTACAGCAAGAGATGAAATCAACCTAAATGTCCATCAATGTATGAATGGATAACAAAATTATGGTATACGCATGCAATGGAATATTATGCTACATTAAAGAACAATGAGGGATACGTGAATCATCTCACAACATGGATGAACCTGGAGGCCATTATGTTGAGTGAAATAAGTGAATCGCAGAAAGGCAAGTACTGTATGAGCCCATTACTGTAAAAAGACAAAGAATGGTTTGCTTGGGAAAGGGAACTCACTTGTAGGTTACTGGGGTGTGTGTGGGGGATTAAATCCAGGCTAGTTGGGGCCCCCACGCTGACCTGGGTAAGGGGAGGGATGTAGGGAGAACTGATTTTGGATGTGTTCTGGAGGTGGAGTGTCGACTTTTCAGAGATGGGGCACAGGCCGTGTTTCCATTACAGTGTGTTCTTGACAACCCTGCAGCCCTTTTCCTCGGGGCTGGCAGGTCCATTGCCAACAAGAACCACTGGCTGTGATGGAGAATCCAGACACATAGCGGGGGAGGGACAGAGTCTGCAAGGGAAGCAGGTATGAAATCACCATTTCAATAATGTTTTTGTTTTGTTGTTTGCCGTCGAGTCAGCCCTGACTCATAGCGACCCCTCCTTGGGTTTCCGAGGCAGTATCACTACGGAATTTTTCAAAGACCAGAAATCTATGTATGTGTTTTCCAAACCGATGTATATTCTTTTCAAAGAGCCAGGGTTCTTACATATCTTATGTCATGTGTAATCCTTGGTACATAATTTTCTCCCAGATGCAAGATTTTCCAAGTACAGTTCTCACATGCAAGCCCAGTAAATTCATTCAGAACATGGACACTGTCAGAGAAATCGTGATTATAATATATTTAACCATAAACTTATTTTAGTTGATCACCATTTGGCATATTTGTTTTCTTATTACCGGGCAAGATGATATGTATATTTCCATATGTTTTATGCTTTCTTATTACCTACATCCCTCTATTTTTGCAAGAAACAATTAAATAAAGTAATATCACATTATTATCTGTAGTTTTTACTTTGAGTGACCTGAGTCCATGTAACAGGATGCATTTCATCCAGCACATGGAATGGAAACTGTCTTTTCAAGAGTTTGTGGAAAACAGAACACAGTGTTTCACTTGTATCACCACCAAGAGGGTGGTGACAATTCTCAGTTGGAGAAATGAAGGAAGTCAGGGCTGTGGGACTTCAGGGTGGAGAGCAGAAACCCCAGAACCTGGCAGGAAATGCTCTCTCCACCACACTCTCCTCTCCTGCAGAGATGGGAGCACAGCTGAGAATCCGCCCGGGTTCTTGTACAGAAGGTCCCCTGGGCTGTGTCTCTGTGCTGCTCTTGCACAGTAATACATGGCTGTGTCTGCAGGGTCCGTGTTGGTCAGCGTTAGAAGCACTTGGTTTCTGGAGGTGTCTTTGGAGATTGTGAGCCGGTTCTTCAGAGATGGGTTGTAATGCTTATCATCATCCCAATCTATGAGGGCCAGCCTCTCCAGGGCCTTCCCTGGAGGCTGGCGGATCCAGGAGATACCTATGTTCATAGTGCTCAGTGAGAACCCCGAGAAGGAGCAGGTCAGCGACAGGGTCTGGGTGGGTTTCAGCAGCCCAGGGCCAGACTCCTTCAGGGTGACCTGGGACAGAACCCCTGTGGAGAAATCACAAGAAGGTGATGCTGCTTCCGTGTAATAACAAGTGTTTTCATCCCTGATCAACTCCCTGACCAGAGCACTCACAGGAAGGGAGCATCAGCAGCAGGAGAGTGGAACCAAGCCTGTCCATGGTGGAGCACAGGAGTCACTGATGCAAGGCTAGGGCTCAGCTTTTCAACCCAGGAGGGGGCTGGGATGATGTAGATTTGCATTCCCTTTAAACACACCCTCAGCCTATATAGTGGGCCCAGGTGTCAGGGTGCAGTAGAGGTGTGTTGGATTGGGTTCTCTAGAGAAACACAAAAACCAGCAAAGTGTATATATATATTTATAGAGAGAAAGAGAGAGAGAGAAAAATTTATCTTAGATAAATGGCTCACAAGGGTGTAGAAGCCGACAAGTTCAAGCTGAAAAGTTCGTCTCTGGAGGGGGATGGGGCCCGGAGCCGTCTGGCTTTCGCACGCACGGCAGAGGAGTTCAAGCCACAAAGTTCGTCTCTGGAGGGGGATGAGGCCCAGAGCCGCCTGGTTCCCGTAAGCACAACAGAGCCGAG